CCTCCCTCTGCACATTCACTGGTAACATGGCCTTTTCTTCCTCAGTGTGTAGAGGAACCTGAGGATCTCATTGCTTGCTACCTAAGGAGCCTGTGCAGGAGTCCTCTCATCTGTCGCCCTGTCCTTCTGGATTTCAGCCTAGACAGGAAGCCCTCCAGGATCCTGCAGCCTGGTAAGCAAGCACTGTTGGCTTTTGTAATATTTAGCATGGGAAGGAGCTGTCTTCACTGCCCACAAAGCAAGATCTTTGGAGGATTTCGACAGAATTGTGAATTCTGCAGCGTAGGGCTAAAAAAGCAGAGCCGTGGTTACGAAATTGCAGAAATAATATTATAAGTCAGTATTTACAACAATACTGTATATTAATTTTTCTACCTTTTGCAGAAGCATAAATCTCTTTTAGAGCAAGGTTCCCAGTCCTTGGATGGGATGGGATTCTGGCCAGCCAGTGTTACTGTACAGACCTCTCAAATTACGTGGAGTTTGACTTTAGACAGCACAGCGAGTGAAGACTAGGCCTGGAAATCCTCACCACGGCTATAGAATTTAAAGTTCTGGATTTATGGGTGCTGATGTGTGAGCTCATGATGCCACAACTGTGCAGTCACTGTGTTGAGAGGACGTTCTTGTGCTGAGAGGGCAGTCTTGCGCTGACACTAGTGCTTGAGTTCAAGTCCAGGTGCTGCTGGGGTTGATTTGTTAAGCTCACCAGAGGATGCTCTGGTGTGGAGATGTTATCTTTAGGCTGTCGTGTAACACACTGTCTGTGAGGCTGGGTTGCTGATAGTGAGAAAAGATACAAAGCCCAGTGCATCAGCTCTGTGAGCAGCACAGTTCACAACGTAGAATATGTTTCCTCCAGGTTGGAGAGGGATGGTGGCCAAATGTGTTCATCTGCTTACATCCTGGATTCATTAATCATGCTGTCCTTGGAGATGTAGCAGATGCTGAGCAGCTGCTGCAAGGCCTTCCCTCCCCGAGCAGCTTCTACAGCTGTGTGCTAGAGCAAAGCGGGAGCCCTGTACTGAGTTGTTACAGATTGTGTCTTTTCCCTTCAGTTCCACTGCAGCTGAGGAATTTCCAGTGCGGCGAAGTGGAATTTGTGTCACAAGTGGGACCTCGGCCAAGCCTGCTGTGCCTCAACGTTGAGGAAGTGAAACAAAGCACCTTAAGCTACCTGAACAGTGAGAGGATTAGGAGGATATCTAGTCACTGCCAAGTGGGAGCCTCTCCTTAACACCTCTCCCAGTGGGAGAGGAATTACGGAAATACCTACAGGGATTGGGAGTTTTATTTAATCTCCTTCCAGTGGGAGCACGAGACTGTGAGCACAGAGTGAAGGGTGCAGTGAAGAAGCTGCTGTGACTTGCGGAATTCCTGAGTGGTCATTCTGGACCATTGCCACCAGCAATACTGGGCTGCTTGCTACATGACAGTGGTTGCTATGGGGCTAGGACACACAATGTGTGTATTTTATGTGGTAATATCTACTAAATAAAGCTATTAAAATACAGTTTAAATAATGGCATATCTATTTTAGTATTAGAGTTTACTTGCTCTATGGGGAATGAGGCAGAAAATAGATCTTTGGTTTGTAAGCCAGAGCCAGGCATTTTCCAGATCATTCGCTGTCTTCATGAGGAATCGTACCATTGCCACAGGGGGTAGTCTTCTTAAACCAAATGAAATTATTAAAATGATGTTTTAAAAGCATTTTCTTCCTCCAAGAAGAGAAGGGAAGTGATTAAGTTATTGTTTGGAAACTAAATCTTGGTACTAAATCACAAAACTATATGGGCATTGTTTTACAGCTTAAACAGTGGCCTGAACATTTTGTGGGGCTGATGACAAGAGGGAGAGCGGTGAGCTGCGCTACCACCTCACACCATGCTATGGGCTTGCTCATCTGTTCCGCTGAGGAAGGAGACAGCTGTGATGCCATGTGCCACTATCCATGGTGGCATGGCAGGCTGACCAACACAACACCTTGGGAGATGACCATTTGAAGAAATTCCTCTCCCCTCTGCTTGCAGTGCTGATCAAGTGTTCAGCACTTGCTTTTGGCAAAATGGCATCCACGTTCTTCACCTTGTGCTAGAGGCTAGTAAATTCCACACAGGACAACTTCCCTGCTTTATTCCATATGCAAACAGAATATTGAACAGCTGCTCTGTATTGGGATTTGTTCGTTTGTCGTTTCCCCCGCCTTCCCCTTTCACTCATAGTTTGAGCCTTGTATTAAACTTCAGGTTTGTTGAGCATATGTAAAACATCTTCCCTCTCAAGGCCTGCTGGCCCCTTCTAAGACCAAAGCACAAGTGGTGCAAGACCTGACAGATACCACCATTCGACGAAGTTGTGAGACTCCAATCCTAAAACAGGTTCCCAAAACAAGCTTAAAGCAAAGTTCTACACAAGTGTTGCTCTGATAGCCTTTTTCTTCCTGTAGGTGCTTTTTGTGAAATGGTAATGATTTTGCTGAAGCTTTCCCTCCACCTTCTCCAAGGAACACAGAACCAAAAAAAACACTAACAAACAAAAAAACTCTAAGCCTAAAGAAAATAGGTGCTGTAAATGATGTAAGACAAAGATCAAAACCTGATTTAAAAGTGCAACTGAAAGTAGTCCTATAACATGAGTATTAGAGCAACAGGCAGTGCTACGGAAATATAGGAAGTGCCATATAGCAGAGACACCTGAAAACAAGAGGCAAACTCATCTCTATTGCTATATCTCTGTTTAATAACTGTGTTTGCTTCTGAATTTGAACTTCCTGGTAGTATCTTACTAGCCTCCCTCTTTTCCTCATTATGCATGTTAGTTGTCTGCTACACTTAGTACTTGCCTGTTACTCTTTTATTTCATGTTACAAATGCAACCATCAGTCCCCATGTCACAGTCTTTGTCTTTGCCAGGTTGAGAAACAAACACTTCAAGCCTGAGTTTGATTATAGCCTTCTGAGAAGGCTGGATGGATGAACTGGCTTTCTTATTTACAATTTCATTAACACATTTAGAGAATCACAAGATGTGAGATGGCCTAATCAAATCTCTTTGGAGAGAATTAAGATTTGCTTGCTTTTAGTACTCATTTGAAGGACTAGTTATTGGATGTATTGCAGGAAGCCATATTCCTGTTTGTTTCTCAGCTTGTGCCCGTGATCAGAGTTCTGGCTGCTGGGTTGCTTCAGACAAGAGAACACATCTTGCTCCTGTGATCAGAGTTTTTCCTTTATTTATGCAGCTCTCTCTATGGCATTCCCTGCTCTGTTTCTGAAGCCAAAGTTGTTGGCATGGGCAAGAAATAATAAGAATATAAGAGAAATCAACTGGCTTCATGTTGGTGCTATTACATGCTCTGGAACTGATGGGAACTCAACGTTCTCAGCCTGAGAGGGAGGAAAGCATGAAGCATGTCCTGCCATCAGGGTAGCTGGAGTAACTGTTCTGCTTGGGAAGAAGGAGGTGGGCCTCTTAGCTGATTTTCTGTAGCTCCACACTTCATCACTGGTTTACCTCTAGAGCCTACCACCCAAAGCTGATGAATGCTAAAGGCAGTTTTCCTGTGCTTTGACTGTCTACAGCCCTCCTTACTCCATACCTAGGTGGGATCCCTCAGGCTGGCATCATCCTCTAGTCCTGCGCAAGCTATCCCGAGTAGGTACTATTTACCTGAAGGTGCTGCGCTGTGCAATGGCATTGTCTGAGTAAAGTGGGTGCAAGCAAGGCTTGTACTGCAGCAATCATCATGGAGAGGGAGACAAAAGAGCCCACCCTGCCTCACAGCTGTGAACTGTAGCCAAGGTTCATCACAATGCAGCAAGCAGCATGTCCGTCTTTCCAGTCAGGGAGAAGGTTGAGGAGGGAAGGAAAAGAGAATGAGGGGACAACTAAGAGTTAACAGTTGATGGTGGAAGAGAAGAGTCTCTAAGGTTGCAGGAAGCGATGGGAGAAGCCATCAGGGAGCCACAAGGCATTTGTCCCGCCTAAAGCTGGGGATGGGGAAAGGATGGGCATGGGGGAGAGTCGCATCCTCCCGTTCTGGCAGGCTTGAGATAGGTCTGCTGCTGTAACAAAGCTTGGCAAGAGGCTCTATGTATACTTAAGCTGAGCATATATACCTATGAGTTTCCCTTTCCAAACTTACCTCCAGGCCCAGCAGTGCTTCTGCTTGTTTTACAGAGGCTTTACATTGATAGCAGATACAGAGGAAGCAGAAGCATCCAGTGACAGGCTGGAAGGGAGGATGACACTGACTCAACATTCAGGTTCACCAGCTGCAAGTCGGTCCCCCTTGTAATGCTGAAATCTGTAGCAGAAGAATAGGGAGAGGCTACCAGTATGGGGAATGCAGCAGTGAAGACAAAACCATTATGTCTATTTATTCCTCCCCATTTTTCTGAATATGGATAGACCCTGCCTCTTGTGCTGGAGACCCACTGCTATGAAGCCTTCACTCTAGGAGAGCTACGACCCTTATAACGCAGAACAGTAGAAGATGTCCACGCTTTTTGGAAAGTTTGCTTTCCTGTGAGTAATGCGGCCTTTTAAGTAAAGTGAGTGGGCTGCAGTCAGAGGGATTGACATTAGTAACAGCTAAAGGGGCCTGCTGGTTTGGTATGCAGAAAGGATTTAGGCTAAACTGGCTAAAGTGTAAAAAGTTGGGCTCATTAGTTGGTTGGCTTGCTTTCGGTTAGCATTCAAACAAATATATTCTTCTGAAGTGCATCCTTCCTTCTCATTCCCTGGCAGTTTTCTCCCTTTGCCAAGGGAGCAATTGTTACCATGAAAAACATCTGAAATAGCAAGACCAAATGCAGACCCCTTTCCTTTGTCTCAGACAGAGAAAGAGGCTTAGATTGACCACAGATTTCAGTCCCTTCCTTGACTGGAACCACTTGCCAGCACAGGCACCAGTGGTGCTGTGGGAACCCCCCAACATATGCCAGGCACACTACTTAAACTCTCTTCTCCCCCACACCTGCGGTCCCTGGGTGGAGTTAGACTCTACCTGTCACTTTGATGTTTCCTGTAGCCTTGGCAATGTTGTTTTCAATCACACAGGTGTAGGTGGCATTAGCAGTAATGTTGTGCAGAAAGGAAACGACTTTCAGAGTGACGTTTTCAGCATTGAGCTCATAGCTAGTGTTGGCAGTGTAGGGCAGGTACTCCCCGGAGTCACTGCAGGCTGTCCAGCGCACGGTGGGTTGAGGGAACCAGTGTGGTGCTTCGCACTGCAGTGTGTGCCCGCTGCTGCTGTTCTCCACATGGACTTTGGGGGTGCTGAAAGCTTTGGGAGGGAAAAGGGGAAAGAGGGTCAGAAAAAGGCAAATCTCTAGGAACTGGTCACAAAATGCCCCACCGCATCTGCTGGTCAGTCCCAGGTATTTCTAGGGTACTTGCTGCCTAGCGTCACAGCACCGCAGGTAATCAAACAAAACACAGTGGCTCAGGCAGAGCTCTGCACAGGTTGGACTACAGAGGATCTGAAGACTCCTAGGATAAGGCAGTCTAGCTGGACAAGATCTGCTGAGGTCATGGCACAGCTTTGGTGTCTTTAGACGATTCTGCTAAAGAGTTATGAGCTGGGTCCTGAGCTCATAAACTAAGCCTTTCTCAGGAGCTCCTGGACATCCAGGCTTTGAGAGGAGATTGGGCTCAGGACCTGTCTGGCCTGAGACCGCCCATATCTGCTGAACACTCAGCTTCCTCAGGCAGGAACCACAACTGGCACAACTCTGCTCACCTCTGCTGAAGACTGGGGGCTGAAAGAAGTACCTGCAGTTCTGGGCAGGGGGAGGCATGCCAGAAATGATTGCTGTTATCAGAGACTGAGGGAAGGGGAAGATGACTCACCCTCTCCACTGGCTGAGAAGGGACTGTGACCAACACCTACGGCTTCATGATGCAGCTCTGATGCTAAATGGGGCTGCAGCCGACGGAAGCTCCGTCTGCACGTGCTGAGGCTGAGGGCAGACTAAGGTGCGGCCTGAGCTTAGGATTTATGCCGACATCCCTGGATTAAAGGAAATGTTTAAAGCCCATTGCAAACTCAGCTGTGTTTTAAAGCCAAGATCATTTCAAATAAAACTTCGTTAGCCTTGGTCTCTGTGCCTTCATAGTATTTCCTGCATGCACATATGTGAAGATAAACATAAGCTTTTTAGGAGAGCAGAGTTCACCGATTTTGATGGAAATAAAACCTAAACCAGCATTTCACTTGTTCTTTCTAATGCTCTTTCTGTGTGGATTACTTTAAACGCCAAATCAAGGAACACAAAGGCAGATTCACAAGGTTTCAAGGAGGGGTAGGAGATGGAATCTGCACAGGACTTAAGCACACCTCAGACATGAGCCCAAGCCCTCTGGCCTTGCTGTTACCTACTGTAGTCCCAAGCAGTTCTTCCATCGTTTGCACTGCAAAATAAGGTGCCTGTGAGCCTGGCAGCCCTTTTTTCTTCACTGCTTGGGGAGGTGCTACACATAGCAAAAGGGCAGAAAACACATTTTCTGTGAGAAACAGGAGACTGTGAAATTACACTTTGCAGATGTGCCTGCGGCACCAGCTCTCATATTGCCTTACTGTCTCAAGATGGGCTCCCTGTGAGTGACATGGGGAAGTATCTACTTCTCCAAGACATCTGTCGCAAGATTCTTCACAGAAGCTGGTGCCTACCTCCTAGTACTTCAGCTCTGCAGGGGCTAAGGAGGAGACTGGACCTGCAGAAAAGCAGCCTGTCTTATTCAAGAGCTCTGCTAGTTACTACTAAACTGCTACGACTGGCCTGAAGCAGAGAAATCCCCCATGCTGCTGGTACATCTGGACTCACCACATCGGTGGTCACCCATCCTAAAACTGCATTTCGTTGTCTTGAAGCAATCTGAGAGGTTTTCCTCTCTCAGCTTGAATTGTTGGGCTCAAGGGATTAAGGGATGTGCTGGGTTCTCAAAGATGCCAGCAAAAACCAGCCAGAGAAACACTAAGACCACCTTAACTGTGCAGGCTCATCTTATCCACGTTGTATAGTTGGTGTGACCACAATTTCATCAGAAAGACCCAGAGGTGACAGAAACGGGTGAAACACTGATGAGTTCAGTGGGAGCATGTTGCTTTGTGCTAGCAGTGAAGACAATGGCCAGGCCCAGACTGTTCAGAAGAATTAAGTGCCCACAAGTGAAAATTCTGTGTTTGTGTGTGTTTTGAGGTTGACTACAAGGTGAAAAATTAACTCAGGCAAATATGTAATACTTTTTATAACTATGATATGGGCAGTTTGATGCTTCAATAGTAATTTATAAAAACTGAATGTCTTAGAAAAACAGAAAAAAATACTAAATAGGCTACAATTTTTACTATGCATACTTCTCCCAGCTGGGGATATTTACTAATTCTAGAGAGAAAAAGCTATCACATTATCTTTAACAGGTATAAAATTATTAGCTACTCCCATTCTTAGGGACTCTTTTTAGTTAGTTAAGTAGCTGGTAGACTACATGTTATAAATAGAAGAAAAAAAAATGGAGAGCATTAAAATAATAATATTTTCTGGATCAAAAATGTGGAAAG